TCCCTCATTTTCAGCTTTACAGTCATGCCAAGAAGTGTATGATGCTCAAAGGTAAGAGGAAGGCACTGTGCTGGTATCTTTTCATAATTGAGCCTCAGCTGTGTGATATTTTGAGCGTGCTCCTTTTACAATTATTTTCCTCGACCGTTCAACCAAAGAAGCCTAAATTGAGTCCTGGTGCAACTGCGAAAACTCAGTTGCGAGTATTTATCAATTTTTGAGGTCGTTCTAACTTTTTTTCTTTTTAATAAGGATTGATTGATTAATTGAAGAACTACACGATTAATATAATAATGAACTTGCAAATATGTTTACGTTAGTCTAGTTATTCAGCAAAAAAAAAAAAAGAAAAGAAAAAAAAACTTGTATGCTATATATAGAATATACAATGAAAATAACAACTCACTCAAACCTTAAATCTCAGCTGTATTCAAGGAAGACCGTTCATTCGCAGGTCAAACGTGAGTCAGTTGGTATCTCTGTGCTTTGGTTCACGTCAACTTCCCATTCTCTGTCAAATGGGAGATTTTGGATGTGGAGATGGAGGGTGGACGCCTGTCATGAAGATCAATGGGAGTAATGTATGATTTAAAATAGTATAAAAAAAATTTGGCTAAAAAAATTTTTTTTTCCAAGGCTGGCGATGAAAAAACGTGGATATTATTTCAGGCAGCATTCACCCAGTATCCTCCAAGCATTAGAAACATCTGATCAGGCACTTGCTAGTTTATCATCACTGACACATTATTAAGTTACTTAAAAAAATCAATGACCTGGTTTGACTTCCTTCTCGACAAACAGTTGAAGAGGGGAGCTTAGCCTCTTAGCTTGATGCTTCATTAACATTTATTTACTGATATCATGGTTTTCTCTTAAATGAACACCTTACCTGGATGTTCACTGCATTTCTACTCTTACAGGTATATTCCAAGACTGAAACAAATTGTTACAAAATATAGGCATGGTTTTTTCATTCATTAGTTCATTTCTTAATGCTCTCCTGTTTCAGATTTGTCCTTCTTCTTTTTCCTACAGACTACGAGAGACGTCTTAGCTTAGTGGTTATCGCTCTAAGCACATAATTTATAAGTTTATAAGTGAAGGTTTCAGGACTAGTTCAATCATTTCAATATTTGAAGGCGAGACGCCACATTGTCTCTTTCCAGTAAGGAGTACTATAACTCGGGTACCAGCAAACAAGTTGTGAAGCAGACGAATTGCTGGAAGGAGGGGGAACCTGGTATAGACTGACATCTATCCTGGAGGGGTGTTGATAATTCGGTGGCTTCATGCTGTAAAAGCACAGCAAGGCTACATTTTTAAGATATGATCTTACATTATCTTCCAGGAGACTTTTGATTATATGTCCAGGTATTGGGAGAATACAGAGGAATATAACATCCAAGGAGGAATGACTGGGTTTGACTCAGAACAGACCAAGTTACCAAGCTACTGGAACACGCCCTTCAACAAGATGTGCCTCGGCATGAGGATCGGTAATCAGACTAAATTTATTGTTATCAACAAGAACGCAAGTTCCCTCTTGTCATTGATTGGTGACGGGCAATACCGAATTCTGTCATTGGGTCGTAATAAATGGAAGACCTTAATTGGTTCACAAGCGTCCCTACAGCATAATTGTAACAAGGAGGGATTTAATGTCAGGTGCAGTAGTGATGCAGGTTCTCGAGCACGAATCGGCATCGTTAGTAACAATGAGCAAAGTTGCTCATCTTGTGACTCCAGGCTCGGATTTGGTTCATGGGGGCAACCTAAGAAATCGAACGCGTGTGGAAATGTAGCCAAGCACGGTGGTGATAACGGCAATCAAAACATAAAAGCAATGGGATATATACTGGTGCAGTGACTAAGGAATTTTTAATACAGCTACCACCTCAGCTGCTCGAAGGAACCAACATATGACTTGCGAGGGGCTTTCGAAATATTCAGTCGCACCACTTAAAACATGTCCATTTTCTTTTCAAGTAGAAAAGAAGAGTCCTAATCGATCGACCTAATGCTCACATGTAGAAAATACGTAGCTGTCAAATAGGGCTAAATAAAACCAAGAGAACGTAATGTAAAAAAATGAAAATAAAATAAGCACACTTTCTTAAAACTCAAGATTAATTAGGTGCACTTAAAGGTTTTCTTTTTTCTGTTTCATCTAGCTACAGAAAAAAATCTTTTCCCAGCTTTGATTTTAAATTACGTATGTAATGTCTCTACAGTCTTCTTGATTTAAATCTTTCTGCAGTAACCTGCAGTTGATATGCATTGGTTTGTTGTCTATCTATGCTTCATGTTGTAAATAGGATAAGGGAGATGGTAAGATTTGAGCTAAGTAAAGAAATTGAAAAATGTGTTTTTCGTTTTGTCAGGAGCGAGGGGCAAAGAAAAAATCCTGAATCCCCGTGAGGAATCAAACCTCAAACATTCGGTCTGAGTACCCATCTGTCTTATTTTATTTTGCAAACACGACGCTATTGACTGGCATTGCTGATCTTAGCAGTACAGTAGAAGTATGTAGGACACGTGTCACGTATGAGATTCGTAATGGCCCTCGCTCACAATAGAGTCTCTGTGGCTAAATGGTAGAGCATCAGAGTGCGGAATCCACCCGTGACAAGACGACAAATATCTTTCTCCATCTCGTATGTTGTTTGATAGCTAACATGTTACAGTGTCTCTCTGCAGGAATAGGTCACAGATCACGTCGCAATGCGATATGGATAGCCGTGTGTGTTGCCAAAATTCATACCAAATTTTGACGTCTTGTATGATCTGTTATTGTACAGACTCACGACAACATGGAATCTGTTTGTTTTAAATTATGTAACAGAGCAAAATGATGTTGATGCTAAAGTTGACTATGCGTTTGTAAATCATAAGGAAGGACTAATCAAAATGCGTGTGCCATTAAATTTATCATGTGATTAATAATGTCACCTAGCATATGTTTAGTGATAATGAGATCAGAGATGGCATTTTGGTGCACAGCCGAGTGTATCAATGACGTCTTTAACTTAAACCTCGCTGACCTTCTCACCCACGCCTGTACCAGTTCAAAGTAAAGAAAAACCAGTTTTTTTAGGCAAGACTTTTCGTCAGACTGAAGTATGGGCTGGTGTTAGCTCGTTTCAATAACCAATTGTTTCCAGGCTACATTTGCTCTCATTCTTCTTTTTATTCCAATCCTTGTTCACTTTCTCCACGAGCTTCGTGCTATCCCAAAGCACTTTTTAATGACCCTGCAAAGTAGGGGAGGGGTTGGTCTTAGTCCCTGGTGCTAACACTGCCCCGCACTACGACCAGTTCTGAAGAAAAAACGTCAGGCTTGTTTTTAACATTTTCTCTCGCGCTCTCTGATAGATGGCACGGGTTTACCTCATTTCCTCGAATAAGCACCCACGCTCTAATAGGCACCTTCCCCCAAATAAGCGCCAAACTCATGGACATAATATCAAACTAATGCCCCCCTCAGTCAATTAAGCGCCTCCTAATTTATTATTTGACAACACACCGTGATGCTATATTTTCTTCAGAATAATTAGATTCGGGCAAGATTTAACATTGGTTCTGTGTGAAGTTAATCTCCGTTTAAATTTATTCGCTTATTCTGGATAACAGTATAATAAACAGATCAGATTAAGTATATAGATAGAAGGTATTAAAAACTTTTCTTAACCTTGAATTTTAATGCACAGTGAATTTTAAGATGAAGAATTAAAATGTATGCTTTCTAAACTGAGATTTGCTCAGTAGAGAACTTTGAACAGACAGGGTAAACCATGCTTTGACACTGAATAAAACAGTTCATATACATTATACGTTCCTGTTTATAGTTATTGCAGAGTTTGTACATATTTTAAGCATTCGGGAAGAGAATACCGTATTGGTAATTAATGAAATACTCAAAGAACAAGACACTGCCTAACACAACTGTCGCAGACTAATATCGTCAATACATGGAATAAAGTTGCCCTTCTTAACCGATTCAGACCCTTGTGGGTAAAACTTTTAAAGAAAACGAGCGAAAAATTAACTCGCACGAGAAGCTATTGGCTTCTCAGGGGGTAATTTTCCTCTTTACTGTACTAGGATATATCCTATGGCTCTAATGTTTTTGTCACCATTATCCGGGCTAAATTTACCGTTGGCTACGTTTCCACATGTGTTAGTGCTAGAACTTCCCCCCATACCGAAGCCTATCTTAGAGTCTGGCGTTGCGCAGTCATCCTCCTGGTTAGCAAAAATACCAATTCGAATTTTTTGCTCATTATTCTCGCCAGCAGCAACATTAAAACCTTCTTTGTTGCAAGAATGCTGCATAGAAGATTGCGAACCAATTAACCATTTCCAGGTGTTACGTCCGATTGAGGTGGCGTGGTATTGTCCTTGAGCGATGAGCGAGTGAAACGAACTGGCTTGCTTGTTGATCAAAGTAAATCTTTTCTGAGAGCCTATCTTCATACCGAGACAGATCTTGGTAAAAGGTGTATCCCAATAGGTTGGTAGCTTGGTTTCTTGTGAGTCGAATCCCGTTTGTCCTCCAACAAGGTTGTAAGGATCTTTATTTGTCCAGTAGTTAGCGTTGTTGTTGAAAGTACTCTGATAGAAATTGGAAATATACCTATTATTAGTATTTACAACTACACCCAGTTGTTTCAGGGCAAATTCATAACTTATATTAAGCAGTGATTTTCCAGGGCCCCGATGATTGTCATACCTTAGTGCCATCAACCTTCATGACAGTAGTCCATCCGCCATTCCCACATCCAAAATTTCCCATATGACAGTAAACGGCAGTTTGCTGTCCATCAATGATCAGTGTTCTAAGCTGACTTGATGAGCTGCAAGATCAAAAATCGCAAAATAAATTAAACTTTCAAAGATAGTAATTTCAGCTACTGTTAGAAAAACTCCATCGATTGCTTCTTAAGGGATCTCTTTCTTTTTTACTTTTTTATTGTTTCTAAACAAGTACCTCCGCATAAACCATAAAGTAAACCATGTGCAAAAAGTAACCGTGACTACGGTAACTTACCTAATCGTGTTGTAGACTTGGTTGCATGACTTCAGAGCTGCGAAGCGTATAGTATTACAACATTAGTTTTATTTGTATGTCGAAAAAATTAAGGAGCGATTGCCCAGTCAATCGTCAAATTTTCAAGCGAGAGTTTTGTTCCCAAACGAGTGAAAAGAATGGATGAACGGGCGAACGGGATGAAGCCGCTCTATTTCTATAAAACTCTTACTTCCCCATCATTATCTCCCGCCACCCTTCCCCCCTTACTCTAAACAAAATCTCTGAAATTAAAACACGGGGCGTAAAAATGATGCTGCTATTTTCTTTATTTTCCAAGAACAATAAAAGGTAATAATATGCATTATTGGAATGTCATGCAATTTAGCTAATAAGTCTTCCAGTGTGGAAGCCCCAAGAATCAATAAGCCTCTCCCCTTTCCCGTGTGCTCAGTGTTTAATGGACCTATGGCTTGACAACCGTGCATCTCGAATCTAAAACAATGTGTGCAACTAACATTTACCATACCTATTTCGCAGAAGTTTCCTGCGTAACCTGGAGCACAGCTACAGTGATATTGGTTGGTAACGTAATCCGGAACACAAGTTGCATCGTTTTGACACGGAAAGCTTGAGCATGATGTCTAAAAAAATGTTTATGAATGTATTTATTGTTAATACGTGGATGCTGGTCAGGCCCTCACTGTCTATCGATTATTGCCGACAGGTATTATTTCTGTAGCCTGAGATGATCAGTAATAGAAACCGACCCCAGTTTTAGTGGACTCCATATCAACAGCACACAATATTCATCATACTTCTACACGAAGAAAGACGCTGCGGAGGTGAGGTTTCTAAGCCCATACATGTCAGCTCGCCGGCCACTGGACTAGCTCATCTTTTTTCAAAACCGGCACAAATAAAGGTATCAAATGACAAATTATTTGCTCGATAAACTAATTTCAATTCAACGATTGGAATAAAAATCTTTCAGTTTTGTCTACTTTGCAAAGTGCTGGAATTTCCAAATTAAAAAATCTAAAAAATAAAAAAATAATAATAATAATAATACGGAAAGGAAACACAATACAAAATAAAACAAACAGACAAAACAAAATCCACACACAAGAGGAGCCTTGATGTATTGAGTATATACCGAAATTTGCTCTGGTAAGCGTGACCAATGACACTGTCATGGAATACGTTAATAAGTGGGTATTCTTTAGAGTGAATTTCTTTTCTTTTCCTTTTTTGAAACTGTGATAAAATTCCTTCGTTGAGTTTGAACCCTATCTGTTTACCAGTGTATGTTCATGTTTTAATTAAGTAAACTTGTCTGATAAATGGCGCAGAAGGCGGCATAAAGTAAGTTACTTTGAATAACTTTTGTTGGAGAGTCGTTTTTATTTTTTTTTTCTTTGGGACGAGAGGATGAAAAAAAATATCAGAGCTTAAAGAAAAAAAAAATCAATTCGGCATGAAAAGATTACTATTGAAGCATTACACCATTGAGAGATCTGCAAACTGTTTTCCCGGTCCTATGGACGTCATGCAGGCAAAACAATTTTGCCTCCGCGAAAAAAAAAATAGATTTTTGATTTTTAGGCAAATGAACTAAACAAAAATTATGTTGGAATTGCATTTATTTAAACGAAAATTTACTCAAAAGGTTTAATGACAGAAAATGTGTTTTTTGATGCTGTTAAACTCTTTTCAAATTAGTAGGTCAGGATTAAAGAGAGTTATGCAATGAGATCACCCCTAAGACTGCAAATGAAGTAAAAACAATTATATTGTTATATTTCGAAATACCTTTATGCTGTAGTAGTGATATCCTTGTGAGTTCACTAGCTCTTCAGGACTTGCAGTATACTTGTCTTTATTTAGCGACTCGCAGAGAAATTTACCATCCAACCGCGGAGAAGAAGCAACGTTAAATGATGAACAATTCGGATCATTCACACAGATCAAAGCGCACTCTTTGTAGTTACTAACAGCAGTCAGTGAATTTGATGCTACCTGAAGACGATGGAATTTGTCGACTGCAAAGTTGCCATAGGATACCTTACTTTGACAGCCGTTCACTGCAATTCCCCGCTTCAAACCACTACTGCCGTTAATTTGAAGGTGGCCCTGGAGCGGCTTTATAAAAAACGCAAAGAAACATGCAAGACTGGATACAAGGGCTTGCATTCTATGTCTTTAAAGGTTAAGCGATTATCTGCTCAGGAAAACGTTCAGCCGCTTCATCTCCAGTAGTTTTATAATGCTCCATGGCTTAATACTTCTGTTCGTTTTTAAAAAGCACCTGCTTTGTTAACGCTACAAGTAAATTATTTCAAATGAATAGCTGTTATGTGTTTTAACATCGGAGTGTTTAAGTTATCATCAACAACAAAAAGATAAAACTTATTTTTAGTTTTGTGATTGGTCACTCGATCTAAATATATCAATTCTCACCCACATATGATTGAAGGGATAGCTTTGTTAATTTATGTTATGTCATTTAGGGTTATCCAAAACCAGGAATAAGCAAATAGCAAATTTATTTTTTACAAATGAAATAAAACATGCCTCACTTTCCATCTCTGGATAAGCTCTGGCAATCAAATGACGAAACTAACTTCGTTTGTCATGAATGCGAATGGTTAGCATAGGCGCCATAACTATTTTAGGAATACCTCTATGTGTAATTATAAAAAAAACCAAACATCGAGACCACCTCCAGGATTTTCTCTGTCTGATTTATACGATAAAGTTAAACAGAAGATTAAGTTTCGGTTGTAAAACAAAGAAAATCAATTTGACTTTACGCATTACTTCAAATCTAATACCTTGTTTAGAGGTTGACTATAGTTGCTAAAAAGCAATTAGTTGCAAACTAGAAATTTCTTTTTCTAACACACCTTTTACAGCTGGTGACGCTTATCATCAGCAGTGTGGTGAAGGTAAAGTTCGCCGATTGCTGCAATGGCGTTATTGCATGACAACTATATCGGCAATGAAATGGCCGGCTTTCGCCTAATGTTCTCATTCTCATTGTCTTTCTCATTATTCTTTTCAGTTTGTTTGGTTCTTATTTTTTCTTTCAATTTGTTTTGTTTGGCTTACTTGTTCACCGTTGTTACGGCAATTGATTAAAAGAAAAACCCTTAGCCATTGCAGGACGTTTTATGTTCTTCCTTTAACGGTCATGTTTCCACAGTCTCCTGACTGAAATTTGGTTAAGAATTGCTTCGACCTTGAAAGCCAGTGCCAGCAGCCCCTGAAGGCATTTTTAAGCTTTTCTTAGTTACTGGAGTTAAAAAATATCGAAAACTAGTTAATATAGTATTTTCCTCAGTTAGTTAACATGTTTGTGGAACTCCTTGTGGTTAAGTGTAGGCATTTTTTTATATTGTTTGGATTGTGTCCCGGCCTACAAGCGTACTTTTTCTTTAATCGTGTCCCGGTCTCCACCGGTCAACCTCGTGGATTGAAATTCGTAAATACATTACGTAATTTTTAAACCAAATAACCTCATGACAGCAGCAAAAAGATACGGGCCCATAAAGCTAACACTAATCAACCCGCTGTGTCAATATATGATATATCATGGCTTTGTCCCTGCATACCTGGCACCTTTTCCAAAAGAATCAGGTAACTATGCGACAGCCAATTTAGTCGTGTAGTTTTAACACGCACTGTCAGCTTGGTCATCGGCCATTGAGCCGATTCTATTTTTGGCGCAATTAGAAACATTCAAAAATGTAAAAGCTTCCCATTTGATAAAGAAAGTATCTGAGGCTAGTCGACTATATGCGTCCTCACAATCAATAGCTGTCGATTTAACATCGTAGAACATGTCAAAGCACGTAGCTCTCCTTAAGCGAGGCTTTAGAAAAACCTTGACATAAGCTGGTGATGTCCTAGCAAATGTGTGATCATGATTGCATCGCATATATATTGGAGACAATTTTTGTAATATTCTTGGAGTGAAAATGTAGCTAGATAATGCACTTATCATTTATTTATCGTACAGAAGCAGTCATAACGCTCGAAAATATAACAAACATCAGTCGTCAGGGAAATCAATCAATTTAAGCGCTGTAAACAATAGGTTTAAAAGAAACTGCGAATGAATAATACAAGAATATTATGATTCCAGGATTCCCATGCTGCATGTTGTATAACTTCGAATTCACTTTACCGGCTTTTTTACGGAATATCGAAGAAGGAAATTTGAACCATAACTCTCAGTGTATCAGAAAGTTCACTTTTTACAGCTTAAACATTTTTTGTCCAATACGGTAAAAGCTAATGGGGATCTCATTGGGCACTTAGATGTATCCCATAGTTTTGATAAATTTGTCACCGTTATCTGGGCGGGATGAAGCACCATTTCCACAGCTAATTCTGTCTTCAGGGTGACCCTGCACAGCCGAATCCAATCCTGGAGGCACAAGAATCACAATCACTTTTTTCATTTGAAGCGTTACCGATCCCTTACTCCAGCGCAAACTGGACCATAATTACAACCTGCATTGAATCCTTCGAGCTCCTTGTTGCAGTTTGGCTGTAAAGAGGCCTCGGAGCCGAGCAGCGTTTTCCGGGTTCCACGACCCAGCGAAGTGGCTTGATATTATCCGTCAGCTATCAGTGATTGCAGCGGAGATGCCTAATTGTTAACGAAAACAAACAAATTGACTCTGTCCTCCTAAACTCATACCGAGACAGATCTTGGAGAAGAGTGTGTCCCAGTAGGTCGGTAGTTTGGTTTCTTGTAAGTCAAATCCAGTCTCTCCTTCAACAAGGTTGTATTAATTTTTATCTGACCAATACCTTGAGTTGTAATGGAATGTATTCTGGGTTAAATTGATTACAAACTTAGTTAGTATCCAGTGTTATCATTAGGCCTAGATATAAATTTAAAGCATTTGGAGGCAAGGACGTGAGTGGAATTTGAAATATACGCCTTTTTTTTCCCAGTGAAATTAAATGAAAAACATCTTGGTAATGGGGGAGGCATTCACCCTTAATTAATTATCGTCTTAGTTAGGAAATGAATAATGCTCAAGAGCACAAAGAATCCTTATCATAAACTACAGTGTATACTACCTTATTGCCATCAATCTTCTTGACAGTTGTCCAAACTTCATCACCACATCCAAAATTCCCCATATAACAGTAAACAGAAATTGGCTGTGCATTGATGATAATTGAAGCAATTTTGCCATCTTTATTTGACCTATACGAACCCCAAAACACCACAATAAGCTTCTCGTGATTTACATTTCTTGGCAGGGACTTTATGATAATTGTTGAAAATTTACTTAGGAACGTAATAGTGTTCAAAATATGACTTGAATGGGTAAAAAGCAAAAGCGCTTCCTTGTAAACGTACTCTGAAGGTAATTAGTAATAGTATCATTTAAATTGGCACATGATTCTTTTTTGAGTTCCGTTGTTTTGTTACCCATATCACGATTTCTCTTTATAAGAAAAAAAGGGAAGTCGTAACTTTAACTTTTGTTGAATTTTCACTCTATGGTAAAAAAGAGTAAATGTTTGTGGTCGATAAGTTATAGAAAATAATTAGTGTGCAGATCTCTTATTTTTCCTGTCTTTTGCCAAATTATTCTTTGTAAACTGCAGTTGTTGAGTGTAAGATTCTTACAAAAAAGATAAATAAAAAAAAGTTAATTGGGATGAATACAGAAAAAAAAGGGGATTAAAAAATGGAGACATCAGTTTTAAGAAGTCTCGCTTGTCTTCATCATAGACTTCTTTGCATGACTTCAGTGCTACAAGCAATAGAATATAATGTCATTGTTTAAGCAAGTTTCCCCGGTCTTTGTTTGAGTACATGTAAAAATACCAAACACATTAATCCAAAGTCAGGCGTCTATAAATTTTATACGTAATGTTGCTTGAATTTGAGTCGAAGACTCTCCTTTTTGGCAATGAAGCCCTGCGTATTCCGCTTGACAGCTACAGACATAGCCATTTACTTGGTCTGCACACGTCCCTCCGTTCAAACAGGGACTATAAGCGCACTCATCGATATCTGCAGAAAATTTGAACGAAAATTTCGGGAATCTTCATCGAAGAACTGGAATTTTATAGAAAATATTATGCTTGTGATTGTCCAACTGAAGCAAAAGTCGCTTTCATGTTATGGTGAAAATGCCATATCAGGCATTAAACCAGCCAAGAAATGCTTTAAAAGCTTATGGGAAACGTAAAAGAGTGTAAACTTTCGAAATTTGAAGCGTGCTATAGGGAGCAATTTTGTTTACAGTATTCAGCTTTCAACGTATTTGTTCAAGCGCGAAACATGCAAGTTTGTGTACACACCATCACATTACCGTGTTTATGTTTCTGCACGTACACACTACCTTTGATAAAGATTTATTTTCTGTCAAATCCTGTTTAATTAATTAATTAACGTCGTTTGTAAAGCCTTCTCACGCGTTCAAATTAAAGTCGGCGCTTGACTATAGCGCGACAGTTTGTCTAAGCAAAGTTGTATATTTCACGTTTGAACAAACACCGAAAAATTAAGCCCTTCACTACGCTTTGTTAGAAGAGGAATCGCTGCAGCAAAACATGTTGATCAAAATAAAGATTCTGATGCTGAAATTTATCATTGACAGTCGGGGAAAAATGAGCCATGACAAAAGCCTACAAATTCACGCTGACAGCTGAAAAATTATTTTGAACACTGATCTTTAAAACGGGGAATCTTTAAAAGCGGCGAATCTTTAAAAGCGGCGAATCTTTAAAAGCGTGAATCTTTAATGTGGGAAATCTTTAAAAGCGGGAATCTTTAAAACGAAGAATCTTTCAAAGCGTGGAATGAAATCGACCAAATGTATAAGCGGTCTGTGGAAAAGTTGCCCTCTTAGGCGGGAATTCGTTAAACATTACCATTTTAGAGATTCCCGCTTTTAAAGATTCCCCATTCCCCCTTCTCTATTCTCCAT